GCAAGAACAAGAGCAAGAGCAAGAGAGAGAGAGAGAGAGAGAGAGAGAGAGAGAGAGAGAAAGCAAGCTGCCATGTCCAGGACTCAAACTGTAGTTGGCCATGGGAGTCCAGTGCCCTTAACCACTATGCCACCTGCCAGTCCCCAGGAAATACATTTAAAAAAAAATACAAAAAGAGTTACCTGTAGTGTATAAAACATACTCAATTTTATTCAAATAAAATAATTGCAAATTAAAACTAGATCCAGATGGCATTTTTCACCAATTTAACAAAATTGGCAAAAATCCAAAGTTTGAAAATGCACTCTCTTGGTGAGAGTTTTCAGGAGCAGACCCTGCCATAAATTGTTTGTAGAAGATAATACATTTGCCATTATCTATGGGCAGTCGTACTTCTGGGAATTTGTCCTAACTCATCCATATAAGTACAAGATCCTTCACGGCAGTGCCTTTTGAAATAGCCAAAGACTGAAAATAACCAAATGTCTATCAGTAGGAAAATGTTTTAGTCTGTCCTTTCTTGCTAATAATAGAAATACTTAAGTTTGAGTATTTTGAGTATTAATGAAGAATAGAGGCTTATTCTGCTCACAATTTTGGAGACCCAAGGTCAGGAGTCTTCTTGGTGGGGACTCTGCTGAGTGAGGTGGCACAGGGCACCACAAAGCAAGAGAGCAAGAGCAGGCGTGTCTGTGGTTCTGTGTGTTTGTCAGTCTGTGTCCATCCTGGTCTCTTTCCTCTTCTAATGAAGCCATCAAGAGTCAATAAATCCCCATGATCTTATCTAATCCTACATGCCTCCCAAAGACCTCTCCTTTCAAGCTCATCATTGGGGGGTCCAGCCTATGGCATAGTGGTTAAGGCAGTTGGATACCACATAGCCCACTGCTTGGTAGGAGCCCAGACCTTGCGATTTAAAAATCACACCAGAGGGGCCAGCAGGTGGTGTGGTGGATAAGGGCGCTGGATTCCCACATGGCCAACCATGGTTCAAGTCCCGGACCTGGTGGCTTGCTTTCTCACTTTCCCTTTCTCTCTCTCTCTCATCAAATAAAGAAAAAAAATAACAATAATAAATGGAAATAAATGAATAAATAATTAAAAAAAAAATCATGCCAGATGCATGTGCATGCATGCCCAAAGTCTTGAAAGGAGAAGTAGAAAAGGTATTGCAATATGGCCATCCCCGTTGGAAGTGGGTAAGGGGGTGCTTTCTCATTTTATCTCTCTCCTATGAATGTCCATGTCCTACAGCAAAATTTTTTTAATAATTATTTAATTTAATTTATTTATTTATTCATTCATTCATTTTAATTTGACCAGAGAGAGAGGCACACACACACACACACACACACACACACACACACACAGAGAAAGAAAGCAAGTGAGAAAGCAAGCCACCAGGTCCGGGACTCAAACCATGGTAGGCCGTGTGTGAGTGTGCAACACCTTAACCACCACGCCACCTGCTAGTCCCCCCTACAACAAAAGTTTAAACAGTTTTTGAACCACATGAATGTAAATTGAAATATTAAAATATCTTAAGTACCAAATCTGAGGTACCAGTGATAATGCCCTGCTCAAGAGAGGCCAGATTCCACATGGCAACCGTGGTTGAATTCCTGACTCAGTCAGCCTGAAACATGCCAGACATGCGCCTGAGTGCCCAGGATTTGCTGGACTAAAGGTCTGGAGGAAGGGGATTGCCATGCGACCTACCCTAGAGGGGATGCTCAGTTCTTTCCCATTCTTTTTCTCACTCATTTTCTGTGCATGCTGTATCATCATTAAAGAAAATAATTTTATTTTATTTTATTTTATTTATTTATTTTTTGATTATTATTAATTTTTTTTGGAGAGGTTTTCACTGTAGGGTGCGTGTGCTTGCCAGACAGACAGAGACAGACAGAGACAGAAAGCGAGAAATCACCTCCCAGGGGGGATGGCCACGCCGCAGTCCCTTCTCCATTTTCCTCTCGGGATCTTGGGCACACACACACACGCGCCCGGCGTGAGTTTCAAGCCACCAGGTCTGGGACGCGAACCGCAGTCGACTATGTGGGAGTCCAGCGACATAGCCATTACACTAACTGCTGGTCCCAATAATTTTATTTTTGAGTTTTTTTTTTTTTTTTAAAGAATTAGTTTCCCTCCCTCCCTACCCTCCTTCCCTTCCTTCCTTCCTTCCTTCCTTCCTTCCCCCCCCCTTTCTTTCTTTCTTTCTTTTAATTTGACCAGAGAGGGACAGAGTGGGTGAGAGAAAAAGAGAGAGAGGGGGGAAAGTGAGAAAACAAGCCTCCAGGTCTGGGACTTGAGCTGTAGTCGGCCTTGTGGGAGTCCAGTGCCCTTAATCACCACACCACCTGCTGGCCCCCCAGAGAGATTTTTGCTATGGGGCACGTGTGCTCTCTGGAGAGACAGAGAGACAGAAAGTGAGAAATCACCCCCAACGGGAGATGGCCATGCCACAGTTCCTTCTCTGTTCTTGCAGTATCTTTTGCACACTTGCGAGCATGTGCGTGCACGCACACACACACACACACACACACACACACACCGGTATCAGTTTCAAGCTGCTGGGTCTAGGACTCAAACTGCAGTTGAGTATGTGGGAGTCCAGTGCTGTAACCATTACACCATCTGCTGGTCCCACAGAAAATAATTTTACAAATGTATTTTAAGAAGATTTATCTGGCCACAGAGTGGAGAATGGACTGGCAGGGTTGCTGGAGGCAGGAGCAAGAGAGGAAACTGTGGAACCAGCTCGGAAACCATTACTCTGGTCCAGGGAGAGCCAATGGGTTTGGACTAGGGAGGTTTCATGAGAGCTCAGGAGGTGCTTACTTCAGCAGCACATACAGTAAAATTGGAATGATACAGAGAAGATTAGCATGGCTCCTGTGCAAGGATGACATGCAGATTCGTGAAGAATTCATATTTTAGATAGAGAAAAGTACAACAGAATATCTGAAGAATGGACTCGGGGGAACCAGCAGTTAGTGTAATGGCTATGTCGCTGGACTCCCATGTAGTCGACCGCGGTTCAAGTCCCGAACCCGGTGGCTTAAAACTCACACCGGGTGCGTGTGCGTGTGTGCCCAAGATCCCGAGAGGAGAATGGAGGAGAAGGGACTGCGACGTGACCATCCCCCCTGGGCGGTGATTTCTTGCTTTCTGTCTCTCTGTCTCTCTCTGTTTGTCTGGCGAGTGCACTCGCCCTATAGCAAAAACCTCTCAAAAAAAAAAAAAAAAGAATGGACTCAGAAGTATTTGATGTAATTAAATAAATTATTGGAGGGAGACCAACAGTTGGCGTAATGGCTATGTTGCTGGACTCCCATGTGGTTGACTACGGTTCAAGTCCTGGACCTGGTGACTTAAACTCACACCCGGCATGTGTGCATGTGTGCCCAAGATCCCAAGAGGGGAATGGAGGAGAAGGGACTGCGACGTGACCATCCCCCCTGGGCGGTGATTTCTTGCTTTCTGTCTCTCTGTCTCTCTCTGTCTTTCTGGCGAGCGCATGCGCCCTATGGCATAAACCTCTCCAAAAAAAGAAAAAGTAAATAAATAAAAAAGAAATAAAAAAGAAATTATTGGATAACCTCTACAATTATAGGAGAACTCTGGAAAAAAAAAAAAGAACTCGGGGGGACCAGCAGGTGGCATGATGGTTAAGGATACTCCCACATGGCTGATCGTGGTTTGAGTCCCGGACCTGGTGGCTTGCTTTCTCACTTTATCTCTCTCTCTTTGTATGTCTTTCTCTTTGGTCAAATTAAAATAAATGAATGAATAAATAAAATTAAATAAAATAATTTTTAAAAAAAGAACTCAGAAGAAGAGCAGGAATTAAGGAGATGTTTAAGAAGTAAGACCAATGGCATCTGCTGCTGTACTGGATAATGGGGAGCAGGGCAGGAGGAACATGGAAGAAAGGGTTATCTTCACATGTTTGACTCGAGCACCAAGCAGGTGGAGAAGGAGCAGGGATGGGGCCGTGAGGCAGGTGCCTTGATGTCTCATGATGTATGTCAAGTTCCTGGCCCAGTGCTTGACTCAGAACCGCCCCTACAATAGTGTTACATTTAAATAAATATTATTCTATGCTATTAATATAGGGACTTCTAATCGTACAGATGTTTAATTCTTTTAAAAATAGCTCCCCATCGCCCCAGAGGGCACGTGTGCTCACCAGAGAGAGACAAAAATTAAGAGGGAGAAAGCATACCTTAAGGGGCATGGTCACACTGCAATCTCTTCTCGTCCATTTCTCCACCCTGTCATGACTGTACACATGCACGAACATGTGCCCAGTGTGTTTTTCACACTGGGGCTAACACTTGAACTCCACTCTTGGCCATGTGCGATCCGGCTCCTTTAACCAGCAGGTCATGGGGCCAGCCCCTAAAACATCTTTTCATTAAAATGAATTCTATATATAGAAAAGCACACATCGTATAAGTGTAAAACTCAATGAATTTTCACCAGTCGAATTCACCTGTGTAGCCAGTACCTTGAAATCCCCTCTGTATGTCCTGGGAGTTACTACTCATCCTTTTCCCCAGGGTAACCACTGTCCTGACCATAAATTAGTTTTGCTAGTATTCACTCTATATAATGGAAGCATACAGTATATTCCCTTTTGTGTCTTTTTTTTTTTTAGAATTATTTATTTTATTTAACTTAACCTTATTTATTTCAATTTGATGAGAGAGAGAGAAAGCTACCAGGTCAGGGATTTGAACCATAGTCAGTCAGTCGTGTGGGAGTCTAACACCCGATCCACCACCATGCCACAACATCCCCTTTTGTGTCTTTTTTAAAAGAATTATGATAGATCATGTGCATGTGCTCATGAAAGAGAGAAGGATTCCCCCAGAGCTCAGTCACACCGCAATCCCTTCCTTCCAGTCTTCCAGCCACCTCCTGGGCTTGCATGCATGTGCCCAGCGTGTTTTCAAGCCAGCCAGGCCAGGGCCTCAAACTACATTGGCACGTGGTTTCCAGCTCCAGTGTGCCGCCAACTGCACCAAAGAAGATGGCCTCCTTTTATGTCTTCTTTCCCTCAACATTGTGTTTAAGAGGTTTGTTTGTTTGTTTTTGTGGCATGTAGTTGTAGGTCGCTCATTCTTACTGCGTCGTGTTTCATTGTGTGACTATCACAATTAATTTATCCATTCTCCTTTTGACGGGATAAAATATAGTTTCCATTTTGGTTTATTATGAATAGCGTTGCTGTGAACATTCTAGAAAGTGCCTTTTTGTAAGCAATGGATGCATTTCTATTGGGTATACAGACCTAGGAGTATAATTAGTGAGTCATAACGTTGGGATGTGGGGTCAGCCCCGTGGCACAGTGGTTAAGCACAGCGCTGGGGAGTGAGACTCCATGTTGTAGACTGAAGTTTGAATCCTGTAGTTGCAGCGGCTTGAGACACATGCAGGGCTGTGGTGCGTACATGCCCCAAATCCTGATGGGATGGAGGAAAAGGGATTTTAGCATGACCGCATTCCACTGGGAGGTGCTTTCTCTCTCTCGCAATGTCATACACCCTGGTAATTAAAAAATAAAACAAAGATAGGTGTATGTTCAATTTTAGCAGATAGTTTTACAAAGTGGGTGTGCCAGTCCCAGTTGTTCCACGTCCTCACCGACACTTAAGTTCGCAGTCCTTTTCATTTAGCAGGGCCATTTCTGTCTTATAAAACCCGAAGAGTAAAGTCAAGTCAAGGATGTGGCCAGAACCTTAGTCTCTCCCATCCACCTTCTGCTGAAGAGCATAGAATGAATTTCAGCAATGACCTCGGAACAGGTGCATGCTGTTGATGGAGTCTGTTTCCAGTCAGTCCTATGGGCCTGGTGTCTGCACCTTCAGGCAGGTGCAGGCCTGAGGTATCTCCCAGCAACAACTGAGGTGGCTGCTTTCAGAGAGCACTTACTATCTGTGAGGCATTAGAGTCTTCCTCTCGCTTTCTCATTAGCTTCCTAATAGTATAAGGATGGGTACTGCTATCCCTCTTTACCAGCAGGAGTGGCTATGGCTCAGAGGATGAAGTCTCGTCAGGGTCTCTGACAAGATGTGCCAGTGTGGCACAGAGATATTTGACACCTGGCTGCCTGACTTGGGCCATGCTCTTCCCTGCTGTGCCAGACCCACACTGGGAACCCTTTGAGTGAGAAGGGAGCGTTGGATAAGGGTGAGGGTTTCTCTCTAACAGCTTGTCTTGAGTACATGCACCCATGTACAGAGCTGTCCGACAAAGTGGACAGAAATTCCAGGGAATGACATTTCAAAAGGAGTCTGTTAAGCTCTGTGGGTTCTCAGCTGGCATCTTCACACTGATCTCCAGGATGGTTTTGTTTTGATTTTCTTGAACTCCTGCAGATTTATCTAGCTGGGGTGTCTCTGGTAACAGTTACACTGTGTAAATCTGAGAGCAGTATATAATAACAATCCCAAAATACACGGCAGCCAGTTACGTAGCTGAGAGGTGAAATGCTCCCTTCTCAAAATTAAACGATGGGAATATTTTTGGTGAGAGGATGTGGTACCCATTATCCTGGGAATTTTTGTCATTGCTGTTGGAGGGCCTGGAGAATTGATAGCTGGTCTCTCTCAGACTCCCTGAGCTCCCCATGCCATAGGAACGAGTTGCAATGTACATGGGGTCTTCTCAAGTGACTTTGGTGGCCTCTTCCACTGGCTCCCAGTCATGTCAAGCCATGAAGAGACATGGAGGAAACATAGATGCATATTAATACTAAATGAAAGAAGTCAATGCATAAAGGCTACATCTGTACATTCTACCTAGATGGCATTTTGGAAAAGGCAAAACTACACAGACAGAGAGATCAGTGGTTGCCCAAGGGTGGCGGGGGGGCGGGGGGGAAGAGGGGTG